GTTTTCCCTCTCCACAAAAAACAAAACAACTCCAAATTCGAATTCGACCTAGCCTGTGTTGCGAGCGTTCCCGTACGAGCCGCACAAAATTGGGCCGCGGAAAGAGCTGCTTCCAAAGAGCTTTTTCGACCTGCTAAGGCTAACGTGGCTCTTTTCCCATCATTACATGTAAGGTTCGGGGTGAAGGTTATGAGTTTCCATTGTTGAATCCTTTTATTTAAGTATCTTTTCGAGACGAACTGATCAATGTAGTAAAACTTTTACAGTAACTTCAAACTCAAGACTTTCGAAAAAGATGCCTTGGGGCGACCTGGGGAGTCTGACACTTGTTTAGCTCAGAAACTTGCTACATTTTCAGAGAATTCCTGAAGGCTCAAGGTCGTAGAGCTTTGAACGAAAAAGTACAAATTTCGTGCAAATAAATTGAATTCAGGTGCTTTAGTAACGTTTTCGCAACAGGAGGGCAAAATTATGTGATCTGAACTTGTTTGTAAGAAAAACCTTTCCAGTAGATGGTTAAACCAGCCGGACAAAAATCGTCCTCACAACTGGTCAATTTGCCTAGTGCCCTGCCCTTAATGAAACTCCTACAAATTATTAGCTTGCTTGCACGTCCTCTTGGGAGATCTTAGCGAGCTTGCTTGCTAGGCCTCCAGGCTTACAGCCAGGCCTCTGGGTAGTTTCCAGTTCCTACAGTTCAAATTCGCGGAAACTCCGCGACAGCAGGGACTTACTTCCACGCTACCAGTTTACTCACCTGCTCACCACTGAGAGCGTTAACACGACACCGGTTTAAAAAGTTGACGTTGAACTCGACTCTAAGAGCCGTGAGGAAGATAAGAGCATTGGCAGGCAGCTTCATGGTAACTATGTCCATTAGCAGCGTCACAGAATTGTACCTCACTCCAATCTGTATCCATGGCAACTGAGCCCACGTGTACTTCTGTTTGTACCTGGATATCAGGACATGGATTAATGGGAAGTGGGTCTAACAGATCACTACAGGGGTGAGGTAAGTCTTCGCAACTGCCGGTGCTGAATACTGGTTCATGTAGAGCGAACACACTAGGAGAGTTCCTAGCTCCGCCCATCCACTCCTGGGTAGCCTGTTCCAGGCTCTCGGTAGTTGGGTCCTCCCTCGTTTTTTTCTCTCGCTCGCCCTCTTTTTTTCGCTCGGCCCTAACTACTGAGAGCCTGGAACGGCCACCTCTCCACAACGGTAACGGCCACTAAAGCGCATCCTAACTGCCAAAATAACCTCTTGCAACGGCCAGTTAATAAACGACTGACGAATGGTGTCTACGAAACTTGATCCGTACCACCCGCCGTTGGCCCCTGTTTGTTTTATTGATACCTTTTCAATGTGTTACGGATGTATACGCTACAACAAGCATTTTTTTAAAACAAATTTGTTGCACCTCCGAAAAAAAACATTAGTCATATTACAAGCCCACCTCCCCATAACAACCACCTCTCTACAACAGTCACTTTCCATTGTTCTCAAGATGGCCGTTGATGAGAGGTTTAACTGTATATCACTACTTACCGTGCAATAAGGGCCTTCCCACCCGCAAATGGGTCTTCTCCGGTTTTCTTAATGGTTCCATCTCTAACGTTCACAAAGACAGTAAGTAACACGACGTTCTCACCAGTCTGTAGACAAACTTTCTGATACATCTGCAGAAATTCATCCAGTTTGTCCGTGTCTCCCCTTGTGACCGGAAGAACAAGATGTATTCCACGCTGCTCAATGGCAGTTGGCATCTGGATGCTTTCCACCCTGGTGTACGGTCTCAGAAGATGAACGCGTCTGAAGGAAAATATTTAAAGGAGCTCAGTTCCTGATATATTGCGTATTCCTGTTTCATTAGTCTCTATTAATCTTTACTGATATTTTGATGGTTTATATCTATTTATTTTGTTTTGTTTTGTATATTTAATCTTGTACCAAGTTTGTGATACTTATGTGTACCAATGTATTTGTTGTGCCTCTTTCCTGACTCTTACATTTTTAATCAATATAATTACGGTCACCCAACTAGTTTAGCTTTTTAGTTATTTTGGGTGTCCCACTACTGTATGTACTGTACTGTTTATTTATATATTTATAATTACAATCTTGTAAATTCTTTTAGTTGTTTATAGTAGTAGAAATAAAACTGTTGTTGTTGCACGTGATTTCCACAATCTTGAAAAAATTGGGTACGCTTATTGTGTATAGTTGGATAAAATTTAACTGAAAAAATAGTGAAACTACACGCTGAACAATTGCATGCTCACAATAGATCATTTTTTGAGTTTCTGATCCAAGAAAAACAAATTCTCTTTTTCCTTTATGGTTAATTATTGCAACCAGGAGGTCCGCTCTTAGGCATGGTTAAATCTATGTATTACAAAGCTTGAAACATCGGTGCTAAACGTAAAAGAAATTTCATTTGGGCTTCATCTTTGCAAAAATATTTTTACCAAATTAACACGTAAATGATGCGGAAACTACCAGGTAAACTATATTTTTGCGAGGCATTTACCAGCAACACACCTGACAGTCGAGTCTTCCTTGCTTCCAGTATTCTTGATTCCTATATCCAGGATATATTCAGCACCTCGTCTCGGATCAACTCGTCGGTAGCCGTTGATAAGGCGAAACTCTTTCTGTGCACTGCTGTACTCTCGTGATAACATTTTAATTGCTGTTTCCTTGACATCTTCGACGTCTCTTTTGTAGTCACCGCGCAAAGGAACCTGGAAAAAGAATCTAAGGTTAACTACACAAGACATACACACAGTGAAGATATACGATCAGTGTAAAACGAAGACTGCAGACTACAGACTTTTTAAGTATTATCGTGTTATTTCCACTATGGAGTACTGACCGTAAACAAGGTTATTCAGGCTGATCGCAGCAAACGTCTGCACTCCGGTTAGCCTGAATATCACTTCGGTTAGACTGAATATCACTAAGGTTAGCCTGAATATCACTCAGGTTACCCTAAATAACACTCTGGTTAGCCAGTTTACGATTAGCTCTCAATGATGGAAATGGTATTCAGCTAAAAAGTCCACAGTCTGCAGTCTGCATTTTACCCCGGCTCTGCATTTTACCCGCGGTCCGTTCACCGGAAACATAGACCAGGAAGTCAGCATTCAGCACTGAAATAATCACAAATTACGACAAAAGTGACGTACCTTGGGATTAACTTCAGTGAATCCATAACTTGAAGTATCTGTAAAATATTCCCACTGCAGCACTTCGAAACGAGACTGAGGTTTGAAAGGTTGACGGAAACCGATAGGCCATGAAGGTCTCTTTTCCGGAACACCTAAAAATACATCGCGATCAGTATAATAAAGAGAAAAGTAAGTGTGTATTTCCCTTGGGCAGTGCTGCAAGCAGTCTATAGTCTAAGCTTGCATACAGTTTTTTTTTTTATTTTGTTCTCATGAGTAAATTTATACTTTTCATTCCCAAGTTTGCGCAATTTACATTCTGGCGCGAAATTAAAGAAGCGCGCGGCTTCCCATCTCCTTTTTTGGAATCTCTCGTGACGACAAGGAAGGCAGTTACAAAATGATCGAAAGAAAATCTTTCCAAAAAACTGTCAATTACAATCTGAAAGAAAGCCAAGGGAATTTACAGGAGAGCAGACAGATTAGGTAAGTCTTTTTGGTCAATTCCGAGGAAAGATGGCCTTCCTACCCAGCGACCTATCCACCTCTTGGAGGCCAGACTATTTCTATTAAAGCTTATTTCATTTGTCGATTTCTTTAGTGAAAGCATTTCAGTTTGAATATTCCTGGATAAGCTTAATGAGACTCAGAGGGTTATCAGCTCATCGTAATTATCTTATCTTGTATCTCAAATATCTTGATGTGATCGAACATGGATAGTAGAAGACTCTTGACTATCCATGGATCGAATGAGCACGAAGAACACAAATCACCTGGGACCTAATGCATTGTGACTTCAGTGTCCCGTATTTAGAGTTATTTCGGCCACGTACAAAACTACCTTTAAATTGAAGGAAACTTGAAAATAATGGTTTGCTACGATAGAAAAGCACTTACAACAATACACCATAAAGGAACAAGGATGATCAAGGATGGAGAAGATTGACACGGATTACAGAAGAGGAACTTGAAACATTTAAGCTCCTTTAAGTTGCTCTGTCATTGACAAAAATATATAGCTTAAGCTTAAGCTTTAACTTAATTTAAGCTTAGTGTCAATATGAGTTTGTGATTAAGGCCCCATTTCCTAGTTGGGGAAAAAGATATGAAGGTAATGGTGATAATGACCTTAACTAATGCTCTGAGGGTTGAGATTCTGTGTAATAATTAATTTGAAGAAACAACAACAACATCAACAAATACTACGCTTGAAAGAAGGAAATAATACAAATGTTTACTTTGCTATGTAAAATTATAGAATAGTTCACAGAAAAATACATAAATGTTATTTGCCAGTGGGAAGTCCATATGGAGAAAAAACTTGCTTTAGGTTTTGAGTACAGCCTTGGGACCATTTTAGGGCATTAGGGCAAAGTTTTTCTCTGGGAAATATCAGTTTTTTTTTCCTTTTAATAAAACTTGCAAAATTTCAACAGCCAGAGATTTTGAAATCATGAGAATACATAGAGTAAAAGAGCCATTCAGTGCCAGCACACACTCAAGAGTGAGGAGAAACGTTTTCACTGATACAGGGTAAGTTTTTTTTAAGTTTTCATTTCATGAAATGTCCAGCTTAAATAGTTTACAGTGAGCCAAAACCTTACGTTTCTAGCAAGGAGATGTGAGGTGGAGTAGTCCGTAACTTGAGGTCTGTATCATGAAAAAATGCCTGTGAAATTAGCCAATTAAATTCTAGGTTCACTGAGATGCTTGAGAAAATAAGAATCTTTTCCACATATTGGAGTAATATCAGTCATTTTCAGCCTGTATACAGCTATCCCTCCCTTCAAGGGGAGAGAGCAGCAGGATACCATTTTCAGTCAAAACACTTCAGCTGGATATCAAAATATGTAAAAATAACATCCCTTAAAATAGTTGTAGTGCAATATCATATGAAAATCCTTGATAATTAACACCCAAACAATTGCAAAATATAAGAAACTCTTAAACACTCTTAGAATAACAATATTTCGTTCTCAGGTAGAATATAAGCCCATTTTGATGGGGAAAAATAGGAGAGAAAAAAAGGAGGGAAAAAACTCCCTACTTTCAACATGTCTACTTTCTTATAGACCATTAAATTATCAGATCTGGAAACATTAATATGGCAGAAATAGTGGTCTTTGGAACATGGGATAAACAAACATAAATAATGTTAATGTTTAATTTAATGCCTTCCTTTCAATATTAGCCCCCTTTTTAAGTGTTCTACAAGTGTCCTTATGGTAAGAGCATTCCTAATGTTAATCGCCTCCTAAAACATTTTACAATATTGATCGTGCATGTTTTTGGCGGATATTTTTTAAGGATGTGGCTAATTGCAGACTTATTGCTCATGATCATACATCACCTATACATCAAAGTTTATTTTCTGCTAAAAAAAAAATTAATAAATACCCCATCATGCAGGGACTCAAACAAGAGACCCCTGGCTCCAAAAATCAATTATATCATAATAATATGATTCTAAAAAATATATCTAAATTGATAAATAACTGATCTTTCATATATTTACTTGTAATATGATTCTAAGCAGGCTGAGAAGCAGGCTAACTCCTTCTGTTAACCTAGCTAGGTGCTAAATTGAGTCATCAACACCGTTAATCAAATGGTGATGAGTGAAATTAGGGAACAATTTCAAGCGCATTTTGTCAAAATTCTAATATTAAAAAATGCAAGTGAAATTATTTCTTAATTTCAAGAGTATACTGGTCATTTGGTTACCTTTCAATATCATAGGAGACAAATTACGTTTACAATTGTGGGATTTTTACTTGTTTATTGTAGCGAGAAATTTTGCGCCAAACATTGCCATGGAAATTTTGTAACTTCCGCAGCAAAATTAAGGAGTAACATGTCACCTGTGATATTATAGTAAAGAAGCCAATATTTATTAATATTATTTACCCTTTGGTAGCTGTGTGACAAAGTAAATCTGCAACTTGTTAACTTACCATCTGGTAGATATGGTAACATGTCTTTAATAACATTCTGCAATGTCCTTGTCTCAACAAACGTTCTATTAAGCTCCAGTTCAGTGTAGTAGCGGTGCATTTTGTACATAACCAGAGGATCTGTAACAGGGTGCAAGCTTATAACACGAGACATCCTTCTCTCTTTGATCAGATTTATTATGTCATTAGATTCACTGTCTTTGGGAATATGGTAAAATAGCTCTGATGTCTGAAATAAATAAAAAAGTAAATCAATACCTAAATTCTGAACACATCTAAATTCTCATTTTGAAATTTATGCACTGGTAAGCAGACAAGCAATGAGAAGAAAGAAAAACTTCTTTAAAATAATAGAAATGATATTAATGAAACATATTCTTATAACTGAAATTTATTACAATAGAAATATATATGTCTTGGTTTTTTTGCCAGCACCATTTTATTGAAACACAGAATATTTTTTACCACCAACAAGTATCAGACTAAACAATAACATAAGCCAATGTGCACAAATAGGCTAATGCAGCAAGGCCAGGTGGTCAGCGCATTGGACTTGCACTCCAGCAGTCCTGGGTTTGAGTTCTGCTCTGACCACTACCTGGATTTGTTTCACAGTAGTCCTGAGTTCAAATCCTTTGCCATGCTTGTAAAAAGCCAACTGGTTTGCCTCCCGCCAGTTTTTTTTTATAGTTTTTATTGATTTAAATTAAATTAAATAGAGTTGCGAAGCAACAGAGCCCAATATGAGAACATATTTTTATCTAACTATCTGCTAATATATTGTGGTATTGCTGTCTCAAAATAGCATTTAATTTATATAATCAGGAGCACTGCTTTTAGGCTTGGCTAAATATCATTGTATTCATCCTGAAAGTATTCCAACTCTTCAACATTTTCTTTCAGTGGGCCATGTTTGCATTTTTTGAGCAGTTCTGTAATTTTTCTTCTAACTCATTGACCTTAGCTTTCCTACTGTGAGCTTTTGCTTTGCTATAATTGATAGTTAGCTGTCAAATTTCATATTTTAATAAATCCGTAACAACCCACTTATCAACAACCTCTTTAAATTCTTCCAGCCAACTTTAAATATTTGCATCAAGAGGATCACAATAATTGATTTCATTCACTAAAGTAGAATTAAATTTCCAAAAGCTTAGACCACATTGATGCTGTCATCTACACCATTTATAAGTAATACTATCTCAGAGTGACGGATTTAATAGATGGTTTTATATATTGTGAAATGACATCATCTTGTAAACCATCACTTTTCAACCAAAAGTCTACTTGTCTCTGAATAATTTGAGTTTTTTGACATTGTGTAAAAGTTTCTCTTTGGGATGCCTGACATGCCAAATATCTATCAAATCCTACTTCAAACAAATATCTCCTAAAACCTTGAGCTAGTCTTTTGTTTTCTTGAGACCATCACTCCCGTCTAAGTCTTGGTCAAAAATCACATTGAAATCTCCACCAACAACCACAGCAAAATCTGAGAGAGTAAACAAACCTTTAAGCTCCTCAGAAATTGTTTTGAAAAAAATCACTTTACTTGGCAAGTTTACTTGGCACACAGATGTTAAAAAGTAGAAATGGGAAGTCCTGGATCATAGTCTCAAGAAGAATATAGTGAACTGGCGAATCAACTTCAACAATTTGAAGTCTAACTGATCTTTTACAAGAATAAGAATGCCCCTGCTATTACAAGACACATGGCGTCCTGCCAGTTGGAATTCTTAACAATTTTATCTTCAGTTTGAAATATTTGTTTCAGTTGTTTGCTCGGCCCAGCTAGCTGGTACCAACTAGCCTTTGTGCTATAAACACTGCCGAGGGTAAATAAAAGGTCATTTATTATTTATTTTCATTTGGGTTCTAAAAATTAACCTCAGTAAAGGTGGTATGACAAAATGCTCACAAACTGAGTNGCTGGAGTTGTTTCTCGGTAGAACCTAGGTCATAGCCAACTGCTCTGCCTCCCGCCAGTTGGGATGTTTATATTGATTTCCAAAATTAAATTACAAATTGAGTTGCGAGGCAACAGAGCCCAATATGAGAATATATTTTTATCTAACTATCCACCCATATATTGTGGTATTGCTGTCTCAAAATGCCATTTAATTTATATAATCAGGAGCAATGCTTTTAGGCTTGGCTAAATATCATTGTATTCAGCCTGTAAGCATTCCAACTCTTCAACATTTTCTCTCAATGGGTCATTTTCGCATTTTTTTTTTTTAGCAGTTCTGTAATTTTTCTTCTAACTCATCGACCTTAGCTTTCCCACTGCAAGCTTTTGCTTTGCTACATTTGATAGTTCAAGCCAACTTTAGATATTTGTATCAAGAGGATGACAATAATTGATTTCATTCACTAAAGTAGAATTAAATTTCCAAAAGCTTGGACCGCATTTACATTGTCATCTACACCATTTATAAGTAATACTATCTCAGAGTGACGGATTTAATACATAGTTTTATATATTGTGAAATGACATCATCTTGTTAACCATCACTTATCAACCAAAAGTCTACTTGTCTCTGAATAATTTGAGTTTTTTGACATTGTGTAAAAGTTTCTCTGTGGGATGCCTGACATGCCAAATATCTATCAAATCCTACTCCAAACAAATATCTCCTAAAACCTTGAGCTAGTCTTTTGTTTTCTTGAGACCATCACTCCCGTCTAAGTCTTGGTCACAAATCACATTGAAATCTCCACCAGCAACCACAGCAAAATCTCAGAGAGAGTAAACAAACCTTTAAGCTCCTCAGAAATTGTTTTGGAAAAATCACTCTGCTTGGCAAGTTTACTTGGCAAACAGATGTTAAAAAGTAGAAATGGGAAGTCCTGGATCATAGTCTCAAGAAAAATATAGTGAACTGGTGAATCAACTTCAACAATTTGAAGTCTAACTGATCTTTTACAAGAATAAGAACGCCCCTGCTATTACAAGACAAATGGCTTCCTGCCAGTTGGAATTCTTAACAATTTTATGTTCAGTTTGAAATATTTGTTTCAGTTGTTTGCTTGGCCTGGCTAGCTGGTACCGACTAGCCTTTGTGCTATAAACACTGCTGAGGGTAAATAAAAGGTCATTTATTATTTATTTTCATTTGGGTTCTGAAAAATTAACCTCAGTTAAGGTGGTATGATAAAATGCTCACAAACTGAGTTTAGTTGTGCAAGATTGGCAAATACTTGGTTATCAGTCATTTGGAAGGGACCTCGCTGTGCTTCATGCTATAAACCTTAACCCAAATCTTTTTCTCTAGCCAAAATAGCCTACAGCCAATGTGCTGGTGATGTCCTGACTCCAGCAAGCAATGGTCACAAAGATAACAAGAGATTTGCTAGTAACCTCAATTTTTTTAGGCTAAGAGTCTCGACTAATATTGTAAGTCAAACTAAGGGTTTTCTGGCTCAAAGATTTTGCAATAGACCTATACCCCTCAGAATTAAGTGTTTGTCTAGCTATATCTTTAAGAAAGAGTACAAATGCCACCTTCTGAATAATCAAACTTGATTTTGCTGCTGCCATGTCTTTGATTTTACTTTCATACAAGAGTGAATGTAGTGTATGTATGTTGTTACATGGTGTATGTAGATCTACATGTACCTTAGCTGAATTACTTTTTTTTTTTGCTACCATTTACTTGACCATGGTAACTACTTCGGCCACTGCTCAACGTATAAATTTTATCTCCTTATGGCTTTATATTTCTTCTTATTTTTTTTTTTCACTATTTTCATTACTTTACCTATAAAATGTATCTAAATGCCCTATATAGTGAAATAAAAGAATTGAATTGAATTGAATTGAATCAAGTTTGAGGTCTTTAAGCTACGAGTGTACGACAAAGAACAAGTTCTTGTTGATTTAAGGCCCAAACTCATCAGCGTCTGTAATTACCTAAGGAGGTGAAACTCCCCAGTCCACCACCTTAAGCCCGCCGGAAAAAGAAAAAACTCTCGCGGGCAAAACACAATTAACTGAATCAATTATAAACACAACAAAGACTAAGAAAAGCAACAATGTTGATCACGCAAACAGACTACGGCTAGATAATACCGGGCCACTCATTTGCATCCGTATATGTTTCGTTCTTAGAAGCATTGAGAGATATGTTGATATAAAGTGGCCCGGTATCGTAAAATCGCTCCCAAACTACTCACAGCTTCAAACTGTAAGTAAATAAAAGTTTGCGCCTTTGCCCACCGGCCTTACCTCATAACTCCAAGTACACTGCAGTCTGACATTCTTGAATAAACATCGCCCGAGTTCTACGTCTTCATGTTCGGTCAAGGCGTCTTCTAGACAACTGTCCAAGTGAGGGACCAACTTCATCAGCGCGCTTCTTGACAAAGCAACTCCTGCACCACCTTGACAATACTTCTCGTGCGTGTACAAATCGCCATCGCCATTCCCCCCGTTAGCTCTGAATGAACCGGGTCTACCGAGGTAAACATCTTTAGAACTGTTCACGCTATTCAACAGCTCCACAAGTTTCTCGGGCTTAAGGTACATCGCGTCTTCCACACGCATAAACCACTCAAAATTGTTGGCATAATGATCATGCATATATTTTAACATTTTAAAGGACATTTTTGTCTTCGAAAAATTCTCATCTTCTACGTCGGCCAATTGCACAATCGGCAAACCCAACACTTTGCTGTACTTCTCGTAAAAGTCAACATCTCTAGAGAAAGGAGTGAAGAATATAATTTTTGGTAAAAGTGGAGCCCATGTGTTATTTACGGCGAGCACTAAGGAGTCAATGTTTTCTTCAGAGGTCAAAATACCAACAAGTAATTTGTCTCTATGACCAAGTTCACTAGCAACGTAGAAAGGCCGTAGACCATAACTGAAATGAGTCACTTTCGGTGGCACTGTATTATGTACAACCGGCTTAGACTCCTCGCTTGTTGTCTTCCTTGATTCGAAGTCGCCAGGTTGTTTTTGGTGACCCAAAATCAAAACTTGCGACTCTTCTAAATCGTACAAACATTGTTGTTCCACAACAGGGATGTAAAACATAGACAAAGCGAACCCAAGGCTCACGCCGATAATCGCCGGTATAACTGGACGAAATCTCATTCCACGAACAGACTTCATTTTCCGACTGAACGAAGTTGAACCTGAAAAATATCGACTGTTGTCGTCTAAAGATGCGCTGGTACGATTAACACCCCCATCCAACGCTTCGTGAGGGTGAGTTTTGCGGTGAAATGTTGCCATGACGGTTATTAGAGAACCTGACCTTGTCGAGTAAAATTGTCGATTTATCCTCCAACATTATTTGAGCAATTTACCTAAGATCATCGAAACCCTTTCTTATTGTTCTTTCGCAGCGGCTATGAAGCAATTCTCGGAGCTTCATTGGTACTCGTGCTTTGATGAATATTTCATGAGTCACTTGTCCATTTGTTGCTCTTTTGTTGTTCCGGCTTGTTGTTGATTCAGGTGTCGATCGATACTCGTGGTTACCGAGGAAATTTACATATTGGCTGTTTGGGTTTTGTTGCTGTGGCCCATAACCTCCTCTTTCTTACAAAGAAGAACTCGGTTCTTCTGTTATTCACTTCGAAACTCTGCCGAGAGCCTAAGGACGGATGGATATAGGAGACAGACTGGGCTACCGCGCGCATGTCTTACGCAAAAAATCAAAGAAAACGTCCCGTCAGCTACCTCTCTATTCAACGCACGCCCCACCCCCTACCCCGTCAATTCTCCCGTTTTGCGCTGGTGTCCAGTTCTCTCGCGATTCTGTCTGCGCGTTCAACGATCCGGATCGAAAAGAGAATATGGGAAAATAGAAGGCTGAGAACAGTCTAAGCCTCAGCTTGAACAGTAGACAGAGCGGTAAATAAAATGAATACGATAAATGGCAGCTATAAAATTTAGCCGCTTTCCCTGGGCAGGTGGTCGCTCAAGATGAGTTCGAGATTTCTATCGCGTGCTAGTTGGCGCACTCCGAGTCAACTATCACGCGATAGAAATCTTGAGCTCATAATCTAATTGTTTATTAGCTGAGACTTTCCAGTTCTCTTTACCGTGTTAGTCATAGCCCCCTTAACTTTTTATAATCCAAAATATTTTTAGCGATTTGAGAAAAGGTAAAAGTTAGTCCACCGCGCAGAAGCTCTTTGGAATTGTCACGCAATATGAGCACAAAGAGGTAACGTACAAGCGATCAGCAGGTGATCCAGAAAGACAGAGGCTATTTTCTCCCTTTTATAACCATTTGAGTACCTAAATGACGTGTTCAGCACGTCATGATTTATGTCTTTCAGGTGCCTATATGACGTCCTGAGTACGTCAAAGTTTGGTTAAAATCAAATTGCCGGTATACCAGAAACAGCTTTTATCGGCATGCGAGATTCGTAACAGGTTTTACGGGACACTGCTAGTTTCCCATTGCTGTAACGCCATATGAGTACCAAACTCACTTGTAGAACTTGTAAACTTCCCGTCCCCTTCAAAATTTGCTGTGCTTTATTGTGAAAAGATCCAGAGATACGAGATCGTTGGTTCATACCGTAAAACTTCAATAATCCCCCTTCCCCTATCCGCCCTCAAAAGCATGCCTCACTAATCTCCAGCTTTCCCCACTAATCTCTCCGGACCTGATGAAGCCATTGGCTTTCATATTTACAATAAGATTTCTTCCGATTTCAAAGCCCGCTATAATGTTGGGAATAAATTT